GAGGAAGATTAGAAATGGTAAAAGACGTCAAAAGGCTTCACGTGTACACAGAGCAAGACACTAATGGGATGTCAAGAAATAAGCTGCGCACAATCAAATGGAAGAACCTTCATGTGTGGATGGTGAAGCTCAGCCTAGGTGAAGCTCCTGATTTTCTGATGAAATGCCCTTCTGAAGCAGGGCGCTCCCCTCTGCTCGCTGTGGCTACACCAGGCCAAGCCGGCCTCCTTGTACAACCAACCACTGCCACCACTGGAGTCTTCACAAAAAGTCACCTGCCTTTTCAGGCTCAAGAGGTGCTTTTCATGGCCAGAGAGAGGCTGGCCAAAGTGAGCTGCAGAGCAAGCGAGATGCTGTGCGATCTCCATCAGCACCCAGTGCCTCAGAGCCACTAAGCAGAGAGTCTGAATACTGGAAATGGGCTGGCACCCACCAATCGGCCCAATGAGCATCCCCTAAGTACATATACATACATATATATACACAAACACCAATACAAATATATAGGGTCCTAATTAAGTCCTAATAAAAGTGGCAGAACCCACCAGACAACCCTCGCCGTCCCCCCTCAGCTGCCCCACTGCTCCCACCCCTCTGCCCAGGAGCAGGGACTTGCACCACAGGAAACATCACCAGGGACAAGTGCCACTTGTTCCCACAAGAGCAGTTCTAGGAAACCAGAGAGGGTTCTCCCAGTTGCCACACTTCTTCACGTAGTTACCCCAGTTCTTCCTCAAATCTCTCTCTATCTCTGTCCAGAACACTCAGTGGTGTCAGTAAGATCTGGTGTGCAGGACTGTGACATTCAGGGACTGTCCATCTCTACCTGATCCCCCAAACATCTGGCTGTTCAATACACAAAACACAGTGACAGCAAGAAAGAAGAATATAAAGGCAAGGCCACATATTTCAGCATCAGAAAATGTTAACAGTCACTTGAAGAAATGTTTTTTTTGCTTGGTTGGTTTGGGTTTTGGTTTATTTTGGTTTTGTTTTGTTTTTAAAAAGATTTCTCTCTCTTTTCACTACCTGTTAGGCTCTAAAAATAGTCTGTGAATGAGGAAAAAACCATTCTGGAAACACAAAATTATTTTTATGCTTAACATGTGAACAACAGATTAAAACTAAACCAGGCTGCTGCTGCGCTAGATCTACCAAAAGGTTGAAGTCTATGCAGCTAGGGAAGATGAGCAGGAAACGAGGGACAAAGTTGGTTACCTCATCAGAAGATTCAGTCAGCTTGGAAAGGGATGAGAAAAGAACCAGGGATGAAAGATAGAAACAAAGGCAAGTCAGAGGTGACTTACAAGAGGTTAGAAGGAGACTGTAGGTTTAAGAGACATCATGCACTCTACTCCCAAGAGCATGCACTTGCTATCGTAATCTCCCTGAGAAAGCTTGAGGATATAACAAGACATTTCACACAACTGGGAGAGGCAGCCAGGTTCAAAAGGTAACAAACAAGGAAGACATTCACCTTGTACTAACCAAACAGCTCTCTACGGAAATAACTCATGGTGGGTTAAACACGAGGGGTTTATGTAACAAGTTACCTCCTGTCCCACTAAGAAGTCAAAATTACCAGTGACCAGCTCCGAGTGGGAAGTGCCTGTAACCTGTCTTTAGGTACTGATGTTACAAAAGAAACAAACCCCTAGACATTTACATGCATCTTTATCGAAAATTAACGCTAGTAACTCCTACTCAGCTTTAAAATCATGATTACTGGATATTACAAAGGCAAGCACATGCTTACAGGGCACAACCTCAGGCTCTACAGGGAAGGTGAGGCTGGCTGACATGTTGAGATTTGCAACCAGATTTTCCCTAGAGACTAGAAGGATAAAATAAACGTTCTGATTTTCATTTCTGAGAATAACCACAGGCTGTTTTCAGAATGGTCCTTTATACAGATTCTTATAAAAGCATCCATACCTTCCAAGTGTTTAATATCCAATCACAATATTTTTCCAAAGGGGATTTCAGGCTTTAAGGTGCCTGCAGTACCATGCTACCTTGTAATTATCACTGCAGTTAAATTTCAGTTAGATAATTTGATGCTCTGAACAGGGGTAATTCTGACAGCGACTGACTGCAGTCTAAGCAGCCTGGAAATCAATAATTTAAGGCCAATTATTACAAAGACTGCTTAAGAGAAAAAGGAAATACTTATACCAATACAGGCTGGGGAGGGGTTTCCAGAAAATACATACAACACTGGCAATAAGTAAACTGAATGTAGAGTTGTACTGGAAAAGAACTAACTAGTTTCAACAGAAGAAATCTCGAGTATTCCAATTATAAGCCTCAGTCTAAAAAGTTACTCCTTATCAAGTATTTCGTATTATGATGTGTTTCTCTACATTCCTACATGAGACAATCAACATACTTGATTGTTCTTGCTGTGATGTTGCACATACTGTGTAACTTGAATAAAGCAGAAAATTCTACCATAATAGCATTACTGATGTTACTATTTGATGTAAATCAAACATTAATGGCAGCTCTACCTACCCAGCTGGCTTTAATTGTTTAACATCCCAGCTTATTTACTCTTCCTTCATTTTGCAAGGTTCTATTACTGCCAAAACCATGTTGAACCTCACAAAGAAATCCTCAAGCACATTTATGACAAAACATGCATATATGCAGACAAAATAAACTGGCATCATATGGTAAGTTGTTGCCTTATACTGCTTAACTTACAAGTGTCTTGCAAAGCAATGAAGCTCTTACCCTCTGAGCGTTCACAAAGAGCTTGTGAATGATGCTACCAGCAGGTCCTCTTCCTGCACCGATAACTGACACCTCCGGCTGGTCCAGGAGACAGTTTACGAATCTGGTGGCACAAATTATTGGAAAGGAAAAAGGAATGTTTAATTCTCAGCTGTATCCAGTTTGCTGATCTAAAACCAGAACTGTTTCCTGTGAGGAGGTCTCCACCTCGCACCATCTGCACAGAGCCAGAACGGGGAGACACTCTCAAGTTCTAAAAGTTTAAGGAGAACACCCTGACATTTCTCAGCATCCCACCCAAACACCATCATCACCTTTTCATCCCTTGACTCATTTCCCTCTACCCTAAAGACTGACCCCCCCTCCTCAGCCTTCAGCTGTTCCCTCCTACCTTGCTGCTTGCTTTCATGCTAATACAAGCAGCTGCTGGTGGGTCAAACCCAAGCTGAACACAGCAGCCTCCCACGGAAGGGCAGGAAAGGCAGGATTATACAGCTGCTTCCTTTGAGCTCCAGCAGCAGCACCAATTAACACCTGGGTTGCAATTCACCCTCAGAAAGGAAGGATTGCTTCTCTCAGTTAACTATAAACAGAACCCAGGCTCCTAACACAGATGTGTAAATTCTACATGAAAAGCTTTCATGGTGTCAGCCACTCAGAAGTAACATGACTAGTTTTTTGAGCAGCAATATGTTGCTTTGGTCAGACACCAGCCCTCTGAGCTCCCAACGTGTGCTACAAAGATGTAATCTCTCCCTCTCAGCACAGCAGCAAGAAGTTTTAACATAATGTTGCATTTATATGGTTCCTCAGTAACATTTCAAATTAGTAAGGAGACTAAAATAAGAAAATGTAACTTTGGGGAGGGTATTTTATTCCATATTACTTAGAGAAAACACTAAATTTCTAGTCCTTTCTAATTTTACCTCTGTTGTAACAAAGTTCATCAAATATACCTTTTCCATACATGAAAAAATAAATTAAATCCCCAGTACTGTCAAGATAAAAACAAATCCATTAAAGTAACCTGCATTAAATTAAATCCATTAAATTAATCTGCATTAAATTAAATCCATTAAATTAAATCGTGTTTTCAAAGAGATGGTTACTTAGAGGAGCATTTAGGGTACCCACATCCAACGTCTCTAGATAGCCTAGGGACAGGGGAACCTACTAAATAAGATTCCTTAATATTTCTGTATTATTACCACGTCCATTTGTTCTACATTTTGACACTACAAAAAAAGGGCATCAGAGGAAAACAAAACCAACACAGATTTTGTTTGAAAAAAAACAAAGCGGGGCGGGGGGGGGAGAATATTTACGAAAAAAATCAGTCACCTTTGTAGATCTTGTTTCTCCTCCTCATTTTCACATTTCTCCACCCCAAATTTTGCTTTCAGAGACCTGGCCCTGGCGATGATAGCTTCCACACTCATGATCTGAGCGATGATTTCCTGCAGGAGTTTAATAACAATGAAAATTAAAAAGATGTTCTTTTAGCGCTCCCATGAGCAGCGTAAAAGTCTATTAAGTTTTCAGCTCCAACCAGTATAAGTATCTTACTTCCAACTTCTTTTCCTCTGGATTTGGGAATCGTAGAACCTTACTGGAATGGGATATTATCTGCTTAATAATCTTCTTAACTGAAGATATATCTTCTAGTGTTTCTATTAGGAGAAAAAGAAATGAAGAAGGTGTAATTACTGCATCCATGTTCAGCCTAAAGTAACTTAATAATTTATTAAATGTTATTTACCTTCTTCCTTTACCTTGAGTACAGCTGCATGGATGATGCAAGGCAAGAGATGCCTTGCAAGGTCAGCTGGTTTCTGAACTGCAAGGTAATGAAGCACCTAAACCATTAGAAAATTCAATATATTAGTGGTCAAAACTACTTCCCAAAGATAAAGCTAACGAGGGTCACAAGCCCCAGAGCTCTTTACCTTCTCTGCCTCTCTAGTGTCATCGAAGAGTCTCTTCTGCCTCCGAGCTGGGACTGGTTTTGCTGTCTCCCAGGCCTCTACCCACATGTTGCTTGGAATCTTCATTCGGGCACTCAGCTCCCCCTTAATTACTATATTCCCCTTCTCATCAACCACTTCCTCTTCAATGTAATCCCGAGGGGAGTACCACCGCACGAAATCCTCCAGACAACAGCCGGGATTAGCTGCCTGCAATGAAGAGGAGATGAAAACTGTGCCTGAAAAGTCCTATAAAAACATGGTAACCTGGGTAGGAAGGTGATACGGTTCCGTGGGTAGAGCATAGGGTAGGAGCCCAAACTCAGGGAATTCTGTTCAGTCACCAAACTGTACACTAGGGAAGAGGCCTGGGGGGGTGAGGGAATAAAGCATAAACCAAGACAATGGCAAGGGGTAAAACCCACACCATCAACAAAAACAAAGAAACCTTCTTATCGCCCCAAAACCAGTACATTCATCACCTATTTTAGGCAAGCTCAAAATTATACCATTAATTCAAACTTCTATATGGTACCTGATACATGCAGTAAGTATGAATTTTCACTAATTTTTTTATCCATAAGCTTATACCATTAAAGACTTGTATGAAAAACAGCCAAGCCTAAAAGAATCACTGGGCTGCATAAACATGCTTTCAGCACTGACTTTCCATCTCTTATCACCCCAGTAACAAAATTCACCTTTTCTTCTTCCTTTCAAAAGGAACTTAAAAAAACCCACAAACATTCCAAAACAAAACAACTTCATTTTTCATAGATGCAACGTCAACACAAATAAATACATCCATAGGTCTAGAACATAAAAGGAAACCCAGTTTACTATGCAATGTACGTAACAAGAGGGCACTTCCCCTTCAAATTAGGGTTCTATATTATTATTTTGAGCTTCTAGATCACTTGCACCATAGAAATAAAACTGCTACATATATATCTAATATGACACGAGTCACTGCTAATCAAATGATATTGATATGTTGTAGTCTTACTCTACAGCACATCTCTAACGTTTCACTACAAACATTGCGATAATTTAAAAAAAATTATGAAATAGCTATTTCATGACAGAATCGTCAATCTTTTTTGTGTTTTGAGATCCTTTGCTACAGTAGTGTATGTGCTCTTAGCTCCCTCTGCAGAGCTCAGAAAAGAAATGGAACAAACTACCCCAAACCACAGCTAGTCCCGTCCCAATTTGATGAACAGCTGTACAGGACATTTAAATAGCGGTAACTTATCCTTCCTGCAAAAGAACAAAACATCTTCAGCTCTACATAAAAGTTACGTTCACCTCCCCAGAGTCCCAATAACAGAACCGTGAATGTCTTAGTTGGTTTTTCTTTATACTGTCTCTAGATTTTATCCATTTGGAGTCTGGTTAAAGGTGCATTTTACAGAGCTAGACACAGTGGAAAGTACAGGTGAGAGAGACACTAAACAAAAACTACAAAGCGGTGGGAGGGAGACACGTGTCTTTTTGACTCAGGACTCTGATGCTCAGTTTTGTTCTGACCTCATTTTGTACAGACTTGTCTGAGTTTCAATTCCCAATTTATCAACTGTATGTTTTTTGCAGGCTTTTTCCCTTCCCACAGACGTTGTGCAACTTTACTGGGAGGTTACAGCATAATAGACTGGACAGTCATAAGATTTTTAAATGTTCCAAGAGTTTTATCAGTGGGTTTTTATTTTCAACTTTAAACTATTGTGAAACTGTTTTGTGGAGAAAAAACAAACACAACTTGTCAGAAAAACCTTCAAAATTGTTCAAAACAAGCAAGAGGGATAGCTTAATTAAGAAAAAAGCTAGTCTCACAGCATTCTTTAAGTATTAGTACCTTAAAAGACTCCATATCTGAGAGCAAGCAGGCACTCTGCATGCGTGCCCGAAGATGAGCACCTTCTGCTGATGTCCCCAGTTTTGCCAGTACCTCAGACTGTTCTTCCAGCAAATCTTCAGTCATGGGTGCTGGTTCCTGCAACATGGAAAAAGACAAATTTACAAATAGCCTCTCCTAGACTCAGCCCTTAATGAGAAAGGAGGAGCGGAATTTTCCCTGTCACCAAAAGTTCATTTGTTTGTTGAGATGGATGAAAATCCACCTAAAACAATGTAGAATTTTTGCTGTTGATACTGTCAGCAGGTAATTAATTGACAACATTTTGCCTGACTACACTCTGCTCATAACTTTTACCCACGCAAAGCAATATTCATTCAAAATTATTTCTCTCAATGGAATGAAAAATACTATATTCTTCCTGCATAGCTGATTGCAAACTACTTCCTCTGACACCACTGCTTCCTATTTTATCCCTAGTCACTCTACAAGAAAGTCAGTGTCAGGGAACATTTCTAGTAGTTTGATGATAAACCTGCTTTAGATAATGATACCAAAACCTGATGGCTGTGGCCTTTTAGATAAGAGTTGAGAAATGGTTTGTGGTTGTTTTTTTTTTTAAAGAAAAAAGAAAAAGAAGTAGCAGCAAAACTGATCCAGTTCTCTGGTCAGTCAGCTAGAAGTCTTCATGGTGGAAGGACCAGGGCAGTTTCTACTTCACAGGAAGGAAAGATGCCTCAAGAGCTGTAATAAAATGAACCCAAATTTCAAGGTAGTAAACACAGCTTAATTCTTGTTTTAAAAAAATCTGGTTTGAGTGAAATTTGCTAAGACGACCCATTCTCAAATAAAACAAAGAGCATGTGAGATTTCAGTTTAACAGCCTCAACAAGTTTTTAAAATGGAAAACAAGATCTTAGGCCAAAACCACTTAGCAATTTTAACAGCAGATAAGAATATAACCCACAAGCTATACACAACTCCACAGCCCTAGGCAGGAGCCATATTTGCACGAGATTCATATTGCACATCTGGCTCAGCTCTTGCTCCCCAACCTGTGTTATTGGGATGTAGAGAGGCTCTCCTGGGTGCAGCAGCGTCAGCTTCCCATGTGGATGCAGGCGACCTTCTGGTTTTAAGTTTACAGGCTCTTTGTTGCCTTCTTTTGCTCCTTTCTTTCCATTATCCTGCCCATTTCCTTTAAGATCTTCTGTGTCACTCAGACATTCAAAAAATTCCTCTTCACTGTCACTCCACGATTCCCAAGACTTGCCAACTTCTTTTTCCTTATCAGGGTTATCTCCAGAGTGTTCTGCTCCTTTGCCAGTATCACCAGGTGAGCGATCAGACACGCTCCCCCTTTTCCCCTCATCTCTTGCCTTCTTTCTTTCTATGCAACAATTTAACATCTAACAAGTGAAAGGGGGAAAAAAATTGTTTAGCAATTACTTCTCTTATAAAAACAAACAATGTCACAGAAAAACTTGGAGAGTCACCAAAAATCTCTTACAATTCTAAAAGATAATAATTCCATTGAACTTGTTTCTATAACAAAGATTTCCCAAGAAATTAAATCCAGACCCAATAATACAAGCATAACCAAATCTACAAACCCCAATATATTTAAAAATATAATTTTTAAAATTTTGACAGTTTTCTTAGAAGAAAAAAAGTCATTCTTAAATTTGGGATATTTACCTGAAGTTTCTGATGCAGTAAACAGCATCTCAGATCTGGAGGGCCACTAGCTAATCTAACAAAAGGTAGAAGTGTAACCATTATCAAGTTGAATCATTTACACACATGTGGTCTTAAATCATATGAAATCCAAAAGAAGGGCAAATATCCACATGGAACCCACCCCCACCATTTCAACTACACAGCTCTTCTATGATCTCAGAAGACAAAACAGTGACTGAACAAGCCCAGAAGTTAATCTACATTTATTTCTTAGAGGTCTTTTCTGAAGCTCAGAGATCATTCCCACTAGTACAAAACAGACACACCCTGTATTTCCTGGTCAGTTTTCCATTTGGATGTTAAAAGGGTAACTGTTTTCAAACAAAACTTAAGAACCTTTGACTTTACTTTTAAAACTGCAGTGATATAGTAAAATCATCTCTATATATTTAGAGCTGCGTTCTCTTAGTGTAACCATTTAAAAGTACAAAGCTCTTCTATGATCTCAGAAGACAAAACAGTGACTGAACAAGCCCAGAAGTTAATCTACATTTATTTCTTAGAGGTCTTTTCTGAAGCTCAGAGATCATTCCCACTAGTACAAAACAGACACACCCTGTATTTCCTGGTCAGTTTTCCATTTGGATGTTAAAAGGGTAACTGTTTTCAAACAAAACTTAAGAACCTTTGACTTTACTTTTAAAACTGCAGTGATATTAGTAGAATCATCTCTATATATTTAAAGCTGCATTCTCTTAGTGTAACCATTTAAAAGTACAAAGTCAAATATCCACATTGAACCCACCCCCACCATTTCAACTACACAGCTCTTCTATGATCTCAGAAGACAAAACAGTGACTGAACAAGCCCAGAAGTTAATCTACATTTATTTCTTAGAGGTCTTTTCTGAAGCTCAGAGATCATTCCCACTAGTACAAAACAGACACACCCTGTATTCCCTGGTCAGTTTTCCATTTGGATGTTAAAAGGGTAACTGTTTTCAAAAAAAACTTAAGAACCTTTGACTTTACTTTTAAAACTGCAGTGATATTAGTAGAATCATCTCTATATATTTAAAGCTGCATTCTCTTAGTGTAACCATTTAAAAGTACAAAATGGCAAATAAATGGCCAGTCCATTCCATTTAAAGCAAAAAAAAAGATATATTTTTGCTGTACATTGATATCTCAGCTTGGCAGAACCCTTCATTTGTTCTGCAACAAGCTCTGCTGCAGCAGATGTGACCTGGAAGGGCTGGAATACTTGAGACAGCATCAGCTGCCTGAAAAAGCTACTTCACCAGCAGGAACAGGGAACAACTCCCTTAGAAAAGTGGAGAAACCACACTATGTATCAAAGGTGTTCCTCACTATATCTCTACTTCATTTCCTTTTCTAGTGGAAAACTGGAAGCCAACTATTTGCAAAAGCACTTTTTTTCCCCCCACCCTCATTCCCACCATGGAGTGCTCTAACTTGAGCTTCCTCCAGACACCTTGAAGTTTTCAAAGGAGGGCAGACACATTTCCCTACTGCCTACCCGTTAGTGCTTAAAGGAAGTAGGGTAATAAAAATAGAGAATAGCACTGGCAATTTTTAAAAGAAAACCAACAAACAATATGTTTCAAAGTCACAGTGAACTCACTCTGTTCCTGAAACAAACAATATTTTCTATGACAAAGCCACAACAAAGAAGTATCTTACCCTGGAATAAGGTAGTTGTTCTCCCATCTGTAGCGCATTTCCAACACAAATTCTTGCCAAAGGTGTGCCACCCCTTTAACTCCTCCGTGGTAGAAGTTTATCATACAAAGACATAAAGCTAGTTTGTACGTCAGACTATCAGAAGGAGCAGATTTAAACTGACTGAAGAGATTCTATGTGAAAAATAAAAGAAAGCAGGAGATAAAAAAGCAATTACATTTTTTCCAAAACTGTACGATCTCTTTCCTGTTTGATAATACAATTACCTAAATATTTTAAGCCTATTAGCATAAGCTACAAAAAAAACCCCGACAGTCTTTGAAAGAAGAAAAAAATTTAGAAGGAAAAATCTAAACAGAACAAAAAAAAACAACCAAACCACCAAAAAAAAAGTCCCCACAACACCACCACCACCACCAAAATAATCACTATTTCTACCTAGAGATTCCACAAAGGTAACTTCATCTTTCCAAAAATGATCTACTACAAGACATAGGGCAACCACAGTAAAGTCCATCTGAGCACACACTCAGAATTGCTTTCTCTCTCCCCTGAGTGTCAGTGAAGTCAGTAAAACTTACATAGTCTTCATTCTCTGGCGGAGGATTGTTTCCTGCAGAAGCACTGGTTCTGCTTTCAAATCCATCCATGAGCTTGTCAGCAGCATCAGGAAATAAGAACTTCAAAGAAGAAAAATAAAATCCAAACTTGCATCAGTATGTATCCTTGCATCCTGCTTTTCCCACTTTCTCCCTAAAGCTACTGCTGATTACACACCTGCAATCCCTGTAACTAAAATTGTCACCAGAGTTCAGAGTTTATTTTCATCCTACTTATATTGTAGATACTTGTAATAACTTGGGCTGTTTCAGAAAGCTGATAATGCAATTCAAATAACGGGACTGACATCAGAGACCTTTATTTATAATTCTGCCACAAACTCTAAACCAAATGCATCAGTGGAAGCATGAAACTTGTATTTTACATGCATTTAATGTGCACAGACAGCTCACTCACCAGAAGAATGGTGTTCAGAACTTCATTGTTTAGAGGTGATTCATCTACACCTCTGTGTTTGCGAATTTTTTTCTTTGCACTGTGAACCATATTTGTGACTGACAATTTATGGATTGGGACCGGTGCCGGCTCTGTGAGCTTCGACAAAGCATGAGTAATATCAGCAACCTCTACGAAATAAAATAAAAATAATTAAAACAAACCCCCAAAACCCAGAAGACCGTATCTTTAAAAAGTTCACCTGTCGTATTCAGCCTGTTTATCTTGTATCGATTTTTAACACCCTGTTAGCCAAAGCTACACCCCTGGCCTCTCAGGATCCACACATTACAGTGTTCTTAGCCACAAAGATAAAGCAGCAGGAACAAGGTCACAAAGGAGTCCCAGACTGTCCTTGATTTATTTTACTGAATGAAGCCTAGATTGTGTTGGCTGTAGGTAGCGCCTGCCACCTACTGTAGCAGTACTGCACTCCTGCAGACAATTACAGGCAGAGGATCAGTAAAAAGCCTGCTGACAAACCAGTATTTAAACATTGTTTAGACACGAAACCAACAAATACATCACAAGTAACAAAGACTGTTCAAGCAGATGCAGGAGCTTTAGATGAGCCCTAAATAAATCCAGTATTAATCACTATACCTATGACCTTACACCGTGTCAGCACATAATTCATCAGAAATTATACATGTAGCACTGACCAGAAAATTTCTAGGAGCATTACAGAAAATGCCTAACAATTAAATTCAAGTAACACAAATCATCAAGATTTTAGTTTTACCTTTTCCTTCCTCTTCAAATGCAGATCTTCCAAGTATCTCATCCGTCGACTCCTTCCGGCGGCAAAGCTTGAAGAATTCAGTAAGAAAGTCACCTATGAGAGAAACAAAGTTTCTGAACAGCTACTCAATTAAAATCTCATTCAACACTAAGCCAACCCTCAAAGTGATTCCTCAGGGACAGTACGTTTTATCTTTTCATCGGAAAGAATGTGATAATTTGTTCTGAAGCACAAAAATCTGTAAGCCACATAATTAGAGCTTAGGAAAACGCACATCTAGACAGCTATCAGCTGCCCCTCCAGAGCACAGTTTTGCATGCAGTTAATCCACTTCTTCACACAAAGCAAGATGAAACTTCTGCAGCATGTTAATTTTTTTTACTTTTGGAGCCCACAATCAGAAAGGCGAGGACGGACAATAGTACAGCTCTCCAGGCATACCAAACCTGCCTGTCAGAAATTGACTCAACTAAGGAAATTAATATATGCAGAAGCACTTAATAATTACTTTCAGAGCCCACAAGCTGAAAGGCGAGGACGGACAATAGTACAGCTCTCCAGGCATACCAAACCTGCCTGTCAGAAATTGACTCAACTAAGGAAATTAATATATGCAGAAGCACTTAATAAGATTTAAAGATTCTAGGAAATCTAAATTTTCAGAGAACACACAATAAATGCTTATTCTCTGGAAGCTGGTGAAGCAAGAACAGCAATGAAGTTCATGGTACACAGACACAGAATAACCTACAACAGAAACTTATGTTTTTGAAAAGCTTGTGTTCTTGAAAAGGAAGGTCAAGATATTGCCCACTCAAAAAAATAAGGAGAGTGAGGAAATGGAGGCCATCAGGTAATCAACAATTCAATCTTAACTTCACAACTGACAAGCTCAAAATCCGTAAGAGAAGACAGGGAATTCTGGTGTCTTACCCAATAGACACTGAGGGTTATCTGCTTTTCTGACTCTCACAGACCACTGGGGCGCTTGAATAGGATCCAGGTCACTTGAAACAGAAAGACAAAACAAGTGTTGTGCTGTCACCGTAAGTACGCAAGAAAGGAGTGTCAAATTCCCAATAAATGTAATGTCATAGTCAGTTAGGCCATGGAAGCCATAATACACACCACATTCCATAGAAGAACATGACAAACACACTTAAAACGCAAGCAGGAGCCCCTGTTCTCATGTACATGTGTAACGTGAATAAGAAACACATAAGAACAATTCAGTTACAATTACACTGTCATCTTTTAAGTGTATTGACATTGAAAACTCATTTCTGTATTAATTTAAACAATAAACCACTTTATTTTTCCCCTTCTTCCTTAAGTATCGGAATACACTGTTCTTCCTCTTTAGGAGGCTTTGCAGAAAAACTGGATTATCATTTCTGGGAGAGGGATGTCAATTGGTTCATTCTTTTTGCTGTCCAACATTCCACTATCATCTTTTCCAAGAAATATGCCATACACAAAACTTTTAAGTCTAGCATGAGAATATGCCCAAAAATGGACATGCGTGTTCTGCTGAGATTACGATAAAATAGAATTTTCTCACACAGAAATGTATTTCAAAAGGTGTTTTCACAAATGAGATGTTCTCTCCACTCACCTTAGCATTCCTCAGAATGGGAATTCAGATATCACTAAACTGCAATAGCTAACAAACAAAGTGCACTTCTAGATAGTTGCAATTCAGACAAAATACTTACGAATAAACATCATTGTCGACAATTATGCCTTCTGTTAGGTGAGGCCACGTGGTAGCTAAATGAAGCTCGCTGAAACAAAACAAGATTTAAATCTTTCAGGGCTGGTAGAAAACATTCTCTCTATCACAGTTAAGATCTATTTTGCAGCTCATTTTTCCAGAAGTGTTTTCCCATGAGTTTTCTCACTGCATATGTTCTATTGGTTATTCTCCAGCACGTCACCCAGTGTTGCACCAAACTTTGCCAGTACCTGGCGTATGGGGGACTCTCTCAACTCTCTGCAAAGGGTGAGGTTGTGCATTGTGTTCTAAGTATCTGAGTACAGCATTAAACACCAATACATTAAAATGATTCCTAGATTTGCTGAGTGGTGACAAGGTGTTCAGAAAAGGACACAGAGAGATTGTAATAACTCAGTTTACAGACCCTCTCAGTGTAAGCCTTTTACAAACGTCAAAGCAAGAGAAGAGAGCGAGTCCAGCCCTTGAATGAAGGCACACCGTTTTTAATGTTTATCTCCAGTTAAGGTATATTTCAACATAATAGTTTCAGATACAAATGGAGCACTCCAGAAGTTTATGCTAAAAGATTTATGAGCCAGAACTCTGAATATCATTAGACAATTTTGCAAATGGTCTGATTTGCTATTAGACTATTACTTTTCATGGATCTTTGTTAAGTACTTGAGTAATTAAGTCATCTTTTAGGCACAGAGTAAGTGATAGGCAGGCAAAGCTAAGATTTGAAAAAAAAAAAACATATCTTTACGTTTTCCATTAAGGAAGTTATAAAACATAGTTTTCTGAACTCTTATCTTACCTAATAGGATCCTCACAGGCACCAAACGGCAACTTCCCAAACTCAAGGCCTCCAACTTCTCCCCCAACAAGAGCATCTATATCTGAAGACAGATCAACACATTTTCCATACAGAATTTATGGAGTATTTTAAGAAGCATATCATCTTAATTCCATCTTAATTAAAAAGACTGTAGTGTGTAGGATGATCAGAGAATAGCTGAGCAGCTAAGGTGACAGAGCTATGAAAATGCAATCCTAGCATGCAGTCCAAGTAATTGTTCCCAGTAGAAACTGGGAAGTAGTCATGCAACAGGACATTCAAAAAGACAGATAAAATTCCTTTAATCCGTGTTGAGGGAAGGTTATTCCCTTCATACAGGCAAGGATTATACCTATAAAGGCAGCCTTAAAGATTCAATGCTGACACAAGAATAAATATATACAAATTTGCCGTAAAAATATTTAGGCAGGAAATCAGTTCTAAACAGAAAAGGAAGACTCCAGAAGAGCAACTCTGCAAAGTGAAAAACCAACTACTTTTAAAAGGTTGACAATTTTATGAAAAGTGATAAATTATATCTCCTACAGTTAAAGACTTAAGCCAATGATCTGGGAGATCCCCTGTAATCCCTGGTACTTAAAGCCTGCCCTCAGCATCCTCAGCCACTTCCCATGTTCTATCCTCCAAATATATAAACCAAGAAGACAGTCTTCACTGAATAAAAATTTAAATGGGTAATAAGGTATTGTAATGCCATTATAATAATGCCATTATGGCATCTGGTCCTTAATTTTAAATGCATCTGGCAAACTGTTTACATGCAAAACAAGTGAGGCATTAAAACAGAAAGTACTTGGATAACTTAATTACGTAATTTCTTCTTCAGAGAAGAAAAAAAGACACATTTAAATTCTTCAGCTTTATTTGAGAAGAGCTAATTGAGGGTAATAAAGCACAGGTCCACTTCTTCACAGTGAACATAAAACCACAGCTGCATGTAGCAACAGCAGTAAAAATGATGTTGTTCATCTCCAGTTTCTGCAATGCACTATGCCACTAGCTCTCTTAACCAGAACCTTCTGAAAGAGTAGAATTTATTCAAACTCCTCAAATCAAGAGATAGAGTCAGAGAAGTACAACTCATTCATGACAAACCCGGGATGCTGACTCAGTGACTAACTATAGCAAGGCAGGAGAGACTACAGAAGACGCTGACTTCTGTGTCTGCAGAATTAATAAAAAATACAATCTGTAGAACTGGCTTTGCACGTTCTTTAGGTAAACTTGGTTTACTTACAAAGAGAAACCATCCCTTAAAACAGCACTGATTTTCTCTGACCCTTAAGAGGAGGATTCTCTTTAAACGTATTTTCAACATTCCTCAGGTACAAAGCACAAAGGATCATCTTCACTGCAGACTTCTTCAAAACACATTTGATTACTCCAAGAATTTTTAAATTTTTTTTAAAGCAAAGGAAAGCCAAGCAATTAAGTAACCAGACCAGGGTCATGCAGATTCTGTCCCTCTAAGTGTGCCCTAAATACTTAAACCTTGTTACATAAAACTACTACCAAGCCAAGAATAAAACTTGAGCATTTTAATTGTTCCACCACCTTGTGCCCAAAATACCACAACATTAATAAAATGTGTGTTAAGAAGGAACTAACATCTACCTTTTTGCTATAGATTTGTCTGCCTTTGAGCCAGGAGAAGTTTGTCATTTATCTTCTGATGCTACCTCTATATACATAGGTCTGTTAAGAACAAATCTCCTGGGAAGTATTAGCACCTACTAGAACCTGAATCCGAAAGCATCCCTACAGAATTCAGGGCAGAATTCTTTAAGATCCACAGTCAGTCACCCTTTCCTCTCCTAACAGATACTCCTGTTTTAGATGTATCACTGTATCTCTAAATGCTATTAAAAAAGCATATTTCTAGGCATAGCCCTAATCAAAAGACCCATCACAACCCTAAGCCACCTGATTTCAGAGCAGCTCGAAGCTCTCTAGCCTGTCACAGGGAGTGGGATGGTACTCAGTTGTAACTGGAGCCTTTCCTAGTAATGCAGCAAATGTTTCAATTCTTCTGGCAAAATACACAAACATTTTCTTTAGCATTGACTGCTGATCTTAAAACAATTTATTCTGAGCACACGAATCTCCTACCTGGTGGCTGCTGGGGCCAGAAATACTGCTGCCAGTCTTGAAGCACGTAGGTAAGCCGAATAGCCATGCTCACCGGAGGCAGGGGTGTTAAAGGGCATCCCTTGAAAATAAGAAAGAAAAAAAAAATAGGTAAAGAGTACATCCTCTCAAACACCCCAGGCCCTGAACAGAACTTAGTTATGATAGTTTGTATTACAGCTAATTTTATCAGAACTGCAACACCCTAAGAATTACTAGTAAAGCCACTGCTCAACAAGACACCGGTAAAAGTAAGTGCATAAGCTTTCTAAAATGCACGAGATGTCCATAGGTTCCACTTGACTGGTAACTCACAAGTAACTCTTACCCAGGATGCACTAGGTTTTCATTTAGGATTTTTTTCCTCAGCTTTTGATGAGATTGCTGACTACCAGAATTAGTTGTGAAGTGTTGCAGTCAGCCATACCACCCCATAAAAACAGCAACCCACTCCTCCCATTTCATCCTGTTGTTCTTCACTCTTAGCTATGGGGAGCTACAAAGGATCACAACAAACCCTCCCCCAACCCTCCCCTCTCCTTTTAAACAGCAAAACAGAGTTTGTTTTGGAGAGGGGGAAGAGAGGGTTGTTACAAGCAGGCTGTGTAACAGACACATTCTTTCACACACTAGTGGAAAATAAAAATTGGTGAAGGGGTAACACTGAGGAACAAAACCCACACCCACTTTCAATCTTTATAGCTAGATACTGGCAATATCTGAAAAAAACTTTGTTGGTATCAGCAGTGTCTCATCCTTACCACAAAAAAACCCCATATATCCCTAGAAGACAGAAGTGAATCTACATGCAACCAAGTAATAAAATAATTATTCTTAATATCAGTTACATCCATTCAGATGCACTTACAATCTTGGATTTGAAGATGTCCAGTAATCCTGATAAATGAATATACTGATTTGGCACTTTGCGAAGATGGACCATTTCAAAGTCAGTTCGAACTCCTGGACCCTGACACTCTCCAACATACATTCGCCGCCATTTGTGATGTATTTGCACAAACAGAGGTACCTGACTATAAAACAAGAATACTTCAGATTACTGAAAATGTCATGCTGCCTTGTACTTTTTTAAACTAGCTAAATATTTTAAGGGAATTTCAACATCATTTCATATTCATTAGCATATATTTTGTCTTAGCGGAACACAGTTTAAAATGCTTAACAAGAATCAAAATAAAATATTGTTAATTTCACCATTAAATGGAATGCCTAACTGTCATGTCATAAGCACAGCCCTATCCGTGATTTGAAATTGCCTAACTTTCAGTCTAAATATTTTAGAATATTAGATAGCTAATGTTAACACACATAGGGGAAAAATCCTCTCCCAAAAGCTACATCTTGTATCCCACTTATTCCAACAACCTCTTGCAGCTTTTAAAAGCCTTAGAGGTTTTTAAACAATAATGGGTATAAGCAACACATCGAATCAATCTTTTTAAAGTTTTCATGGGAAATTTTCTTTTTTAAATCTTTCTGTAACAATATTATGGTGCAAATTAAACAAACTCTGAATGTATTTTGCTAAGAATTTAATAACTTTTCCTCACCATAGCAGTATGCCAGAGTTTCACCTGGATGTAAGAAAAGGTTTATGCTTTCACCTACCAGCCAGTGTTCCCCAATGCAATGGAAACGGAACTCAGCAAAAGGTTACATTTGGATTCACTGAGAACTGCATCGTTATTTGCAGCAGGAGCAATCACCAGAAACTCACGTAAGCCATACCTTAAGAGAAAGAATTTAAAAAAAAAAAAAAAGAGCACATTACTGTTTTTTTAACAAAGCAGCTAAAACACAGAATTTTTAGAAATACCATAACCTGAATAACCAAATCATCACCAACAGACTACGGAATCTGTTATTTTGATGTGAGTAACCTCCTTCAGAGAGGTCAAGAACTGAGTGGGCGTGAAGCGCTGCTGATTCTCAGATTCTCATAACACAAACTACTGGAGCCTAGCAGCATTCAAACACAGTACTCAAAATAATGTGAAGACTTCCAGGTCTATGAGCCCTGTAACTATTTGTAATGAAAACCATCTCTCTAGAACAATGCTATAATGTTCTAAAGATCTGCATCACTAAGAATATGGTGGCTGTCATTTCTTAAGGTGCTGCAGCTTTCCTTTTTAAGACTGCATCTAAATATTACAAATACAAAAGTCTGATTAGTCTATGAAATACATAAAGAAGGTAAAGATAGGCCCACTATGGTGGGCTTTTTTTGCAGTCCTTTCCTACATCCGGTATAAAAAATCATTTTACTTAAGCTTTAACTCTTTATGGAAAAATAAAATATACAATTGATTGTGCCAACATCACATATTTTTCAATTGCTATGTTTATTTGTATTAAGGACAAGAGGCACCACACGTACCATCTTACCAGACAGTGAGCTCTAGGAGGAAAGTCGTTGTTCATGCACAGCAAGTCCTGCATAGGCAGAGGAAGGGCATCTGTCAGAAAAATGAATACACAAGAAGAGCATCAGCATCTGTTCAGCTGCCTTACAATTTACTAATATTAGCAATTTGTCCAACGTAAAACATACTAAAAGCAGAACTGTCAGATCACACCCATCGGATCCCAGAAAATTTCACACAGAAGCAAATCAACACACTGTGAATTCCACATTCTGAAAGTGTCTTCTGTCATATCCTTACAGGCATGTAAGAGAACTGCAAGCTACCTTCTACCAGTTCTTCTTTCCCATCTTTGTCACTGGGTTCTTGTACAAGATAATGATGGGTAATTGAGAATCTGAAATCTGCAAATGAAATTTCATCGGACTTCTCTTCCCATGCTCCCGTGGTGTATACTCCCTGCATATAAAAAAAGATATTATTTGATCACATAAATTTAGGTTAACATTCATAAGCCTTAAAAAGTATACTGCCTGCATGATCTGCAATAATTATTAATTTTTTTCTACTGCTAAATATTTATTCTTATATAGCTAAGCATGATTTAATTTCAATAAAACACAATTCCCAAAGCACTTCATTATAAAGGTATCTGAATACTAAAATCCCTGCTGCCAATAACCGTGCCCATTTCAAGGTCCCAATATCCCCCTGAGGAGTCTTCAGAATTACATGGCAATAAAGAGACAGATACATCCTCTCATACCCAACTACGCCTCTCGAGCGTATGCATCCTCAACTTAGCCCAAAGACAGAAGCTTCCCACTTGAGATTTTATCCATATCTATACCATTCTATGCAAATACAACTTTAACATTTACTTCAAATATGCTTTCACCGATAAATTTTTTTTTTTATTTATAATTTGCAAAACTTCTGTGCGTAAGGATAATTAAGTTTTTTAACAAAAATAGAGCATAGGAAAGTTTCTAGGAAAAAAGTCAACATGACTGTACAGAATTGTTTCTGTAATTGTTTCTTCACCTACTAAAACAAAGCAACTTGGACAACCCTTTGATGTGCAAAGGGTGTCTTCTCACTAAAAATCAAGAAGAGAGGTCTGAGCTAGAAAAGAAGTCATGTAGGAACACACTGACAGCTAAAGCTGAAAACTAGTTAATTAGATAACATAAGGTTTTGTTCTGAATATTCTGTACCCTGCCTGAAATTAAGAATCATAAAACTCCCCTGGAAACACAGCAGCCACTCAATCCAGAACAGCTGAATTTATTTGCACTAGTATTCAGAAGAGCTCAACAATTTCCTCCGCATTTTACAGGGCTGAGAAAGCACTACAAAGGCGCTAATTAGACTTTGAAAAAAATCTCTCCCATCTATGAAACATACTGAGTCACAAGTAGTACAACGCAAACCTCAGCCGTAAGTATGTGAGGCGTGACAAAGGCATAAGGCAGGGCAAAAAAACTCCTTAAAAATTCAAAATAGCTTCAACCATCTTTCCAGATTCAAAACTGGGAATAAAAGAAATCACTAGGCCCTGTACAAAGACCCAACTTTAAGAGGGAAATAGCTTGTTTGACAGACAGCCCACCAACAGATTTACAGCGACTGCTTGTCAAATTGCCACTTTTACAGGTGAAAATCCCCAATACAAATCATCATCTGCAACACCTAACAAAACAGCAATACGTGCAATATGTATTTATATTACTACTTAGTAATTACTTAGTAATTCAAATGCTGAAAGAAAAATTCAGAAGCAGTAACTGACCTTTTCTAGAGGTTTGCCTGAAGAAATCCCAATAAGTTTCCAGTCATTCAATACTTCTTCTACTTTTGAAATAAATCTATTGGGAGGAGAAAAGGCATCAATATGTGCTGAACACTAAACTTGTATTATAATTCAACACTCTAAAAGCAGGCAGTATGTTGTCCTACTATGGAATTCCTTTAAAAAAAACCCAAAGGAAGAAAACCACAGGAAGTATCACAATAAAAACAGAACAGTTGCTTCCTTGTGCAAATAAAATGGTCCTCCTATGTTTACATTTCAGATAACAGTTACTTTTAGCAACTGCTATGAGCACACTTCGAGTGATTATAGGATCTCACTTCCTTCTGGTATTGCAGTGTATTAGTTTTAACACATACTCCTGTTTCAAATATGCACCTGACACAAAACTATACAATACATTCTAATGTAAAGTGCAGTACTTAGAATCATTGTCTCCTTCTGTCATAGACGCTGTCATTCTAAAAAAACAATATATTACAAATGCAAGAGCATTCTTCACCTTAAATCTTCTTGTATGTTGTTCTACTAATTTTTACAGGCTTCAGCTAAGAGATGCCTATTTTAATAATCAGGCAGCTCCTTAAAGAACACGTAAGCCTTCTAGATGTTTATTCTAATCCCTTCGCAAACAGATATTAAACCAGACCTCTCACTAAGTTGGGAAGCAGCTGCTTGCCTAGATCCTCTTACCCAGCTCCTCACTTGCGGCCTGAGCCTGGAGCCGGGCTCCGGCTCCGCCCGGGTACCGGCTCCCCTCAGCGGGAGCGGGCCGGGGGGGACACACCACGGCCGAGCCCCCGCCATCCCCCCGGCACCACCTACCTCTCCCACTCGGAGGCGGTGGTGAAGTCCGTGATCTCAAATACCTCCGACTCGGGCTGCGGGGAGAGAGCGGGAGAAGCAGTGAGCGGGGAGCCGGCGAGGAGCGCAGGGGAGGAATAGGGGAAAACACTTACTTCGCTGTCCGCCGCCATCTTGCGCCGCTGCCGGGACAGCTCCCCCCCCAGCCCCGACCCAGGCCGCAGAGGCTGACGGGAAGGCGGCGGAGGGCGGGGAGGGCCGTCCCGCCGTCCCGCCTCAGGGGCCGCCTGTCAGCGCCTCAGGGGCCGCCCGCACTGGGCTTCCCTCACGGAGCCTCCCCGCCTGCCCCCGGGCGCCCTTCCCCGCAGCCCCCGGTGGGAGGCCGCAGCCGGGAGGCCGAAGTGCCTCACGGGCGCGGCCGGGGAGGCGCCGGCTGGGGCGGTCCCCTCACGGCGGTGCGAAGCTGCGTGAGGGATGCGCCCAGAGACCTTTCGGCTCCTTCACGACAACCCCAGAGAGTAAACGACGATGTCGCAGCTTGTCACCATTACGCCGGTCGTGCCGGGTGCCTGCAAACGTATGTGTAATATAGAACCATAGAATGATTTGGGTTGGAAGGGACCTTCAGGATCACCGAGTTCCAGCCCCCTGCCATGGGCAGGGACACCTCCCACCAGACCAGGTTGCTCAAAGCCCCATCCAGCCTGGCCAGGTTGCTCAAAGCCCCATCCGGCTGCCCCATCCCCTCCAGGGATGGGGCAGCCACAGCTTCTCTGGGCAACCCGTGCCAGTGTCTCACCACCCTCACAGGAAAGAATTTCTTCCTGGTATCTAATCTAAATCTACCCGCTTCCACTTTGAAGCCATTAGTCCTCATCCAGTTACTACACTGCCTGATGAAGAGTCCCCATCTCCCCTTTAGGTCCCCTTCAGACACTGAAAGGGCACAATAAGGTCTCTCTGGAGCCTTCTCCAGGCTGAACCACCCCAACTCTTTTAGCCTGTCGTCATAGGAGAGGTGCTCCAGCCCCCTGACCACCTTCATGAGTATATATTCATGAGTAACGGGGAGTTTAGGTGAGGGGAGACTGACTGCAAAGTTAAAATGATGTAGAAATAGATAAGGTTCTAAAAGCATAAATGGAGGTAAACAGAAGAGAGAACTATGCTTTGGGTGCTGGGAGAACTGGTTTGTGATTAGAGCTTCAAACATTACCCTTCAGTTCAGCTTGTGTTTGTTTTCATAGGTCACTACCACTCTCTGAATTAAACTCCTCCAAGCAAAATGGCCCCCCCCGCCCCGGAGGGGGAGAGTTGCCTTGGCAACATCGTGTAAACTCAACAGCCTCTGGTAGCAGGAGATGCCCGCAGGATTTGCCTGCAGAGGAGTGAGTACTATGGGCTCCGCAGTCAGAAAAAACATGCTGAAAATAAAACCAAAGTGTGTGTAATTAGTGCTTGAATTCCTTGCTGTCCAGCAAAGGAAGGCAGCTGTGAGCTAAAAATGCTCCGTAACTTCTCTTTGGGCTGCTGGGCCTCTTTTACACTTTGCTACTGAAGCACCAGGTAAGATGATGTTTAGGCCTTTTTATATAACCTTTTCATTTATTATTTTGGAGGGGGTTTTGTGTATCCAAAAAAATTTGCAAAGCTTGGAGAAGTTCACCATTTAATGTAACTCAACTAGTATAATGCAATAAACATTTTAATGGATTAGCTGGTGTTTAGCCTAAAAATGAGAAATGGAGAGTGCTGCCTTCTATAGCTACTTTGGCACAGTTCATTGGATGACCTTGGTCATCAGCTAGAGGTCATTCAATTTTCCTTCATCTATTTCCTCTTTTGCAAACTAAGAATGACAATACTGTCTGATGTCTGGCTGGTAGATAGTTATAAAATAACACACATTCCTCAGATAAAAATGTTATATAAAATAGTTATAAAAATTAATTTAATTGAGGATAACTGCATGAGTCTTTTGGGAAAGCTGCTGCATGCTTCCAAGTAATTATATTTTTTGCTAATAGAATCAGAAGCAAAAGCTATTTAATACAGATATTAACTAATATTCATTATTGCATTTTCTTTTATTAATTCCAATTCCTTATCTTTAATTTTTACACTGAAAGGGTTATCAAATATTGGAATGTGCTGCCCAGGGAAGTGGTTGAGGCACTATCTCTGGGGGTTATCAAATATTGGAATGTGCTGCCCAGGGAAGTGGTTGAGGCACTATCTCTGGAGGTGTTCAAAAGACGGGTTGACATGATGCTGGGGGACATGGTTTAGTGATGGTTTTTTTTTGTCAGAGTTAGGTTGATGGTTGGACCAGATGATCTTGACGGTCCCTTCCAACCTAGATGATTCTATGATTAGGTGTTCTTGTCACTTGAGAAACAGAAGTTCACTATGTTTTTTGGAAAGAGCCCCAAATCCATCAAAACTATTAATTTGGATTAATTTTATTTTAAGACGTAGCTGGCTAGAATTTCAAATCTTCAAATCCTTTGGCTTCAACATTTCATGTTTCTTCTTTAAGAGTCTGCAATATTTGATTTTTCTGTGTTGTTTATGCTACTAGCATCTCATGGTGTTGTTAATGTTTGAATTTAATCCTAGAAAAGGTGCTCACAGAAAGGTACACTCATGGTTAAGATACTATTTCTGACAATGCAATAGCTTTAAGTGAGAAACAAAAATTTACTACTAATAACTCTGTCTTGGATACCGAGTCTTGGTTATATCAAATTTAATCCCATGCCTTTTTATATATATCAAATGTACTCACAAGTCACAGAAATTCAATGGCAACAAAAATAGCACTGCTAGTTATTTTTTACAATGTGTACAATTTTTAAACACCTACAAAATTACCTTTTCAAATATTCAGAGATAATACATTGTGCATTCACATATTTATGAATTTGTAATAGGTCTGAAATAAGGAGTGAAATTCATACCTTATTGATATCAATGAGATTTTTGTTAATGTTTTTTCAGTCAAATCAGTCTGGACGCGCTGGTTCTGTAGAGAAAAATGCTCAGCTATGTTTTGAACATACATTTAAAACGAGACTGTATTATGGGACATTTACTTCTCAGGATGCTTAAAAATTATTTACAAAGTAAATTGTATACTTCTCTGAAATTTATAGAAATATTCCAGTTGAATTAATCTTTCTTTGGAATAAGCTGTCAAAGGGGTTTGTTGAGGCTGCAGTGTACAGGCTATTCTGTGTTCAGAAAGTTTTGGATGTTGAACCTCTTGCTGAGAGAGAGTTTTGACCAAGTAGAGGAACATACATGTTTAATTCAGATTTGGTTTATCAGTAATATGTTAAAAATACAATTATCTCCCAAATGTGAAGTGTTGACTTGCTTGTCCAACAGCAAGGATGATGTCAGCAAAATAATACTGATAGTTTTCATGGCTTATTCAACACAGCATATGTTGAGTTTTGGGAAATAAAAACTGTGTCTGGAATGTTTGATTCTGTGTATTCACAGGACAGGGCATTGGATGATAAGTTAAACTATAACACTTTTAATAATTTCAAATAATCCTGGAATGTTGGTTTTTTCTTACTTATGGCTCTGAAATAATGAAATATAAAGTACTGCTTTGTAAATGTGAATTGGAAATCAATTTATGAAGCATTTTTTCAGGTTTCTGGACCTTAATATACCTAAGGACAGCATGTCTGACAACCAACACAATAAGAGGAGAAGCAAAGAAGGTAGTCTAACCAAAGTTTATACATATAAAGTGTAACATGTGGCATTTGAAGTAGAAAAAGGACAATGTTAACTTCAAATCTGGCTCCTTGTCAAAACCAAGCAACCACTAAAACATTTGAAAGCAAACTCAGAGTTATTTTCCACCCTTTAAGAGCTCTGAGATTTGTTTTGGTTTTAATAGCTTTCTTATTTTTAAATGTTCTAGTTTTGTAGAGTTTCTGTTGCTATTTTTCTTATATTTCAGTTCTACTGAAATAGGAGCTGTAATTGGAGGTTTTCTAAGATGTTCTTTGTTTTTGTAGTACAGTGAATTAATACACTTACCTAAATAACTAAAAATAATTTGGATTTATGCATTCCCATTTCCAAAAATTATAGCAGGAATTATATATAGGTATCTTAATCAAAGGAAACATGCTCTTGTTTTTCTGATATTTACTTCCTGTATTTCTTTATAATAATATTTTAATGTCAAAAAAATTGCATACACATTGTGTTACTGGTCAGTGAGTATTACTTCTTTCATACAAATACTAATGTATTGCTGCAGGTCGTGGAAGTGTTGTTGCTCTTCAGAATGCAGATAAAATAATAAAAGAAACACACCAGCCATACAAAGCTGTAGAAAAAAACAGGTAAGTAGTATGAATATTTAATTTGTGGTCGGGTATGCAAAAACGGAGACAAAGCAGGTAGTAGTCTATGAGCAAGAAAAGATTTCCTTAGTGCCAGATGTTATACACAGCTGTATGTCTTGTGTGGTGTTTCTGTGTTCCCAACATCAATTATTGGCCATGGCTGGAGGCACGATATTGCACTAGAAGAACAAATTATTTAGTATGTTATGAAAAAACAAGGTATATGGTTTTACATCAGCATTTGACCTATTAAAACCAGTCAGGTATCTTGCATGCAGCTTTAAGATTAATTTAGACTGTATTTCTGTACCTCTTGTCAGTCACAGTGTGTATCTTTTCCCATATTTGGATTTTTCATTCTTCAGAAACCAGGTGGCAGAAATCTGAGGTTTGCCCAGATGGCCTCTATTCTTTCAGGCAAGCCATAGCATATTTTATAAATAACAATGGCACATCTGGTCTTCAGAGTTGTTCTGACACGCTTTCCTGATGATTCATAAAAAATACATACTGGAAGCAGTCAGTTTTTGTCAAGAAGGGGGAGGTGGACAATATGTTTTTCCATTTCTATTGTTGCTGGGTGTACATTGTTTGCCATTCATTCTCATGTGTAGTCAATCTCTGGCACCGCAATTGAATGCTTCCAGGGAGAGCCACAACTTCCCAGATGGAAGAAGAAAGAAAACATACTTTGGCATTCTTGGATCTTATAAACTTCTTGTTCACATTGTTCTCCAGTCATATGGTTATTTGAACTGAGTATGCCCCTTCCACTAATTTTCACACTATATTTTGGTTTTTTTTGTTTTTGCCTTTCAGCCAAATAGCACAAACAT